CTTTCTCTCTGTCTTTCACATTCGTTCAAATCAACGGTCACTTTAGCAAACTTTTTTCTATCCGATAGAGAACAGTCGTGAAATCAGGGACTCAAAATCAGGGACAAATAATTGGAATCATCCATTGATTTTTCGCTCTAGTTTGTTCACATTCAAAGTTTTACGTGTAGAACTCCATTTATACAAACTTATCTTGTAAGATGAATTCATGTAATAAAGACCAATTCATTCGTGTAACAAGTTCAAACAAACGGATTCATACGTATAGTTCACTGACTATTTCCTTCGCTAGTGATTTTTCGTCGAAATAATTTGTCTGTGTAGATTCACTCTATTTATATAAATTTATCGCGGAATAAATTCGTAATACATTCATCAGTTCATTCGTGATATGTTCATTGATTTTTTTTACTACTGATTTCTCGTCCATGTTATTCGTTCAAATAATTATATAAATTTTATATAAATTCAAATAAGTGGAGTTTGAAGTTCCATGTAGAACTTCATTTTATATGTATTTTCTTTTTTTTATAGTAAAACTTCATTTATATTATTCACTGATTCTCTACTTTGCTAATGACTTTTCGTCGAAATAATTTGTTCGTACAATAGTGGATCGTTCAAATAAGTGGATTCAAAGTTCTACGTGTGTAGTAGAAATTTGTCGAAACAAATAGTTCAATTTATATAATTGGAGTACATTGATTCTTCTTTTTGTTAGTGATTCTTCATTCGTACAACTCGTTTATAATAAATTTAAATAAGCAGATTCAACCAGCAAAAGTCCATTTAATCAGACTGACAAACTCCATCTAATTTTGAGCGAAATTTCGTTCGAATAAATGGAAATTTTATAATCCAATATTCGCATTGCAAACGTGTCTGGAACCCCATCCGTGAAATATTACATATTATATCGATGGGACAGTCAAACGTGAAGTTCCGTGTCAATAGTATACATAAACCAACAAATATCTCGATTATATGACGACACATAAATTGAAACATATATTAGTGCTTATACAAGAGTTCTCTAAGAATTCTAAACGTTAATGCACGTTTCACGCGTATTTCAAAACCTTGCTTGATCTCGTGCTCTGAACGTAAAGTTCATCTCGATAACTAGCCAGAGGAACAAAGAATTCTCAGTCTCGACAATACCGACAGATTCGTACACGAGTGAACACGCGTATTTTTCAGTCAGTCACGCGTCTCAGTCCGAAAGCCACGATCGTCTTGATCGTCACCTCGACGCTTGGCAATAGAAAGATGATCGCGATCGTGCAGATAGGCTGTCGAAGCGTGGCAACGATCTCCGTCAAAGAGAGAGAGACAGAGAGAGAGAGAG